TACATTTTCAAAGAGTTGCAATCCTACGTTATTATAATGATTAAACTGGTTCATGTATCACTTAGTTTACTGAACCGTGATGAATGAAAGTGAAATGAGTGAGGTAGTGGTTTACTGAAGTTACAAAGACATTAATATATGAGTAACAGGTCAGTGTAAACACAAGCTTCTGTCAATTATGGATCATTCAAACTATTTATATAAAAATATGTAATAAAGTTCTAAAACAAGTATTCGGTATATTCCTTGATAGCTTTTGGAGAAGGTTGTTTTTAAGTTTACTAAAACCTATCGTTTCAACTGTTTCACTTTATAAAAAGGGAACAGGTGAGTAGAGCGTCATTGAGTTTCTTATTCTGTCAGTAAATTATCCAAATGAATGTTTTTCATTATTTTAGTCAACCCTAAACAAATTGATTGTACCTTTTAATAATGACCTTACATGGTCGGCAAAGTTAAATTAACTTCAGAAAATCAAATCTGTTCTGAGAAAAAACTAATAAATGTTTAAAGATAGGAACTTGCCATCCCACTGAAAAACAGTCCGTAGAGATTTAAAGGCGTAGTTGTAGTTCAGTCCAACGTTTCATTTGGATTCATTTGGATTCATTTCTCCAACAGTCAACTATTTTCATAAAGAATATATATATTTTTCAAAGTCAACTTTATTGTCAATCTTACTCAGTTTGAGAGATCAAAAAGACGTTTAAATAAAATTATACAATTTACAGATATGTATACAAATATATATATCCTATATACACCATCATGTATAATGATGATGTAGAAGGAAGTGTGTTAGATAACAAGTAAATATAGAGTTACATACAGATCCATGTTACAGCAAAAGATGGAATAACTCAGAAGCACGCAGTATAATAATAATTACATGCAACAATTAAATAACTGCTCAGCATCTCCACCACAATCCCAATCTGCTGTGTCCTGTTTTCCTCCCCTCTGCATAACACCCCATCACACATACGAAACACAACGCAGAGTCCGAGGGTGTTAAGAGTATGTTTATTGAAATGTCCTCCTCTCTACTGGCCAACACAGGGAGCATATGCTGGGTGTAGAATTGTTCCAGGAAGAGGAGATTTCCATGCCATGCAGGGTCTTTGGGGATGGGGATGATGATCGCCTCCTTTGTGGTGCACACAACAAAGTAGCAGAGACTCCGGTCTGTGATATGCAGCTGCCCTTGGACCTGGTGCCAGTATGGGTGATTCTCCTTGAGAATATATGACCCACCCTCCTCACGGAGACAGAAGGATGGTAACTGGACTGCCTCTGCGATGGTCATGTTCCTCTGGCTGTGTGGACACTTCACCTCCAGCAGGGCAGATGGCTGCACAAGTCCATCGGGTGATGCTCCCAAAACACCCGACTCACTCACAAAGAGACCAGACTCGATTCGAACACTGTCACTTGATAGGCCTCCACAAAAGCCTCCACAAAATCCTTCACCCCTTCGGCTTCGTTTACAACCCCCCAGTTGACAGTTGGCGATGTCTCTGGCCAGTGGGTTGTATGTCTCCTCTCGCTGTTGGTAAAGTTGAGACACCGGCTTGACTACTTTGGAAGTGCCAGGCTTCCTCCACTGGCACTCAACATCTGTGGAGCTGATCTGCCACATGGCAAATATTGCCAATGCTGCAGCGTGGCTGCATTTGTACATCTCCTGTGCACAATCACAGACAGCGCTCTGCATCGCGCCATCGTCTCCCATGCAGATCTGTAAAAAATAAAGTAAGTACCATTTGTTAGCATGCTATAATAGATTGAATGAGCAATAATACAAGGATGGTCCGGATCTGGGGGTGGGAGGGTTTATTTTTCCATAGTTTTGTCCTCTTGTCTGTTGTTATTGTTTGTTTTTTCTGTATTTTTTGTAATTTGTGTTGTATTGGTTGTGATTGTACATTGTATTTTTCTAAATGTGTATGAATACATTTTTGAAAAACATTTGATCAACAATAAAAAAGGATTTGGTCAGGATCTAGACTCAGTGTGTAGTTTATTAATTAATCAATGCTCTCTACATTAGGAAAACACATACCAGTGTACCAGAGGGAGTCACACACAGCTGTGCCTAGATAACCAAAATCCTTGAATCTACACACAGCAAATAAACTCAAATGACACAACGAGAAAAAGGAGATCACACATACAGTATAGTCGATATAAAACTGTCCGCTTCAATCTGAAGAGCAACTAAACAAAACACGGGAGTGTACCTTGTTCTTGTGAACACTAATGTTATCCACAGCATACACAGAGACCACGAAGTTCTTAAGGAGAAAACTAGTTGCTAAAACAAAACACGTTAGTGTACCTTGTTAGCTAATGTTAGCTAGCTGACATTAACGTTAAACATTGCACTCATATTACTCACCGAAACCTTGTAAAGCCGGTCCCGCATGCTGGCTCTTACAGAACCGACTAACTCCCCTTTCATATAGGTACAGCTCTCAACGTGCCCAGACTTGTAGTGATGTTCACCTCGTAAAATAATTGTATTCTCATTCTGAAAGAATGTGGTGAAATGTGCTAACGTGACGGCCATCTTTATGTTGGTGACGCGTATTGTGCGAGACGAGAGACCTGTAGTTCACTGAGCGGTTTCACACAAAAAAAATTGTAACTTCACAGTTTTACGACACATTTTAATTTTTTTGACTTGCAAAATGTTCTTTTAAATTGACAAACATCATATGTGTCATTCGTGGCACAATTCAAACGGGATCAAAAGATAACCTTTCTCTCTCCATTGACTTCAATGTATAATTTTCCGCTTCCGGGGTCCCATGGAGGCTTTCGGAAGGGGAGGGACTTCGCCTCTCCATGCACAGACAGGGCTGCTGTTAACGTCGGTCTGTACAACGGAATTGTGCCAAAACTACACCAACCGGCTGCGGAGGGACACTCCCCCCCCTTCACTCGAGAACTGCGCTAAAACAGCTGATCACAACGTTCACACTCTGTGGTCACGAAGTACTCCACTAGCCGCCGCCGCCGCCCCCCCTCTGTCGACTTTCCTGAAGTACTCCCCCGTTGATAGAAATCAACACGTAATGAATTAAGACCCCACGGTTTGATGATTGATAGGTGTGTGGGTTGTCTTTCATTTTGACACGCAGAAAAATGTTATAATAAACATAGGCTAGATACTGTATGTTAAATGGATATATCCGCCTTCTTTCATTTATCTTTCCATTCCCACAACAATATACATACATAAATGGCATATTTTGGACATAGTTCGAATGGTGATTAATCATGATTAATTAATTTTTAAGCTGTGATTAATCTGATTAAAAATTGTAATCGTTTGACAGCCCTAGTTTCTACCCATGGATGCAATAAATATTATTATCGATATAGTTAGATTCCACCTTCATGATTATGAATCTGTGAGTGAATTGTTTTCTAACACGACCCTTTTATTTATATTAGGTCTTAAAGTTTTTGCATAAATTAGGGCGTGGTCACTTTGACGGACAGCAAAACAGCAACTTGTCCACTCTGCTAGGCTACAACCATAGAGGCTACAACGTTAGTTAGTCATAGTACTGTACTTGACCCTTTAGCTTTAGCCGTGTTCGTGGTGATTGTGCCTTTTAGGGAATATTGTTACAAATACCAGACAATTAAAATGTCGTAATGTGCGCTTGAATATACTAACAGAACTTCCAAGAAGTCTAAAATGATAATATTATACAAAAAGCTCTCAAGTCTCACGCATTTGGCGTGAGACACACGCATTTCACTCCATTCACACGCTCACACGCCACACCTTGTATTTCTCACGCAGAGATTTCTTTCCAGGGTACCGCCCACCAAGTTGCGCCGCAATTTTGTAAACAAACTAGTACAGAATCACTGTAGCCACGCATCAACCAATCAAAAGAATGTAAGCTGTCGAACAGCCAATTAGAAAATAACATGGCTGTATCCGGGTAGGATTTAGACATTCCGCTACAACATTCCATTCTGATTCCATTCCAATGATTAAGACGCTCGCTGAAGAGTAACCAAAGAGGACGGCTGTCACATAGTCACTCACTGACATTTTGCGTGGCTACAGACTGCTCGACGTGGGAGAAGACCATTTTCAGTACAGTAAGTAATCTCATCATTGATTTCCGTTGTTATGGAATATATGTCCAGGGAGCTTTTAGCTAACAGTTTGACTGACTAGACTAGAGTATGCATGAACTAGCCTAGCTAGTCGGTTGAATCCCTGCTAGCTAATTTCAGCAGCTATTTTGACGCTTGTTTTCTTCGGAATTTTGCGCCTACACTAACTTATTATAATGATTATTATTGTTATTTATTATTATCATTGTTGTTATTGTTATTGTAGTAAGCACCAAGGCTATTTGCTCCCTTGTTGGACTGTCCCTGTGTCTCCTATTTTCCCGGTGTGTGCGCGCGCCAGGGCTGGAAATTAATTTTTCAAAACATTTGAATATTTACACAACACATGAACATTTACCAGCCACTGGGGAAAATCTACCAGCCATTCAGTAGTAAACCAATGGTACATTTGTATTTAAAATCTACCAGCCACTGTTATGTTTTACCAGCATATGGTTGGTGTTCATTTCCATCCCTGGCGTGAGTGTGAGTATATTTTATCAGAAAACAAAGCATATTAATAATGATTGCATTTGTCTTTCAAAGATGTCAGGAAAGAGGCAACTAAGCATTCTTTCATGCTTTCAAAACAATCAGCTCCCTAAAAAGGTGGCCAGGTCAGAGGACACTGTAGAGGAGGCAGTAGAGGAGGCAGTAGAGGAGACTGTGGAGGAGGTAGAGGAGGCAGTGGAGGAGACTGGGGAGAACCCATTGGAAACAGAGAAAAGGAGAGGATTATGTGGAGCAGCCACATATAGGTGTTCCTGTAAGAAGGAGTGGTCAACTCGATGGCCATTCATCACAATGGGAACCACCAGCTCCTTCTACTGGTGCTCAGTGTGCAGACAAGAGAACTCCTGTGCTCATCAAGGCGTGAGGGACATAAGCAGGCATGTGGAAGGCAAGGGACATCGGGCCAAAGAACAGTCTCTAAACTCAGTCAGCAGTATTGCACAGTTCTACGTGCCAGAAACTTCTGTTGGAGGCATGAGTGTACAAGAGGCCAAGGTACATACAGTACAGTGTAGCACAGGAAAACTAAAAAGCTGGCGGCAATGTTTGATGAATTACATTTCTCTTCAAATTGATGGTCATATTACCTTGAAAACGTATTTAAGGTTATGAGGTATGTAATCAGTTGTTTCTGTTGCAGACCAGGAGGGCTGAGGTGAAGGTTGCTGTTGCAATGGTGCAGCACAATGTTCCCTTTGCCGTTGCTGACCATTTCAGCCCCTTGTACAAAGAATGTTTTAGAGACTCCCCTACAGCTCAAGGCTTTAAGAGCGCAAGCACAAAAACAACGTGCCTCATAAATGAAGCAGTGGCACCTCATTTTAAGAAGGAACTGGTGATGAAGATGAGAGAGAATCCCTTCACACTTGTCACAGATGGCTCGAATGATACTGGTATGTGCTTAACAACTTCTATCAGTAATTAGTACTTATTTTTTATCCATTTCTACATGCACTCATACAATTTGAACAACATATTGTTTTAGTTATGGTCCTTATTGTTACAGGTCTAGAGAAGATGAATCCTCTCACTGTCAGAATTTTTGACACCAACAAAGTTGTGCACAGGTTCCTTGATATGTGCACCACCAGTGGGAGGAGCTGTGGCACCGCTGAAGTGATCTACACAAAAATCAATGACACCTTGCAGGAAAATGACATCCCTTGGAGAAATTGTGTAGGTCTCTCTATTGACAATGCCCCTGTAAATACAGCTGCCAGAAATTCAATCTCAGCCAGAATGTTGAAGGAAAATGGCAGTATTTACATCCATGGATGCCCCTGTCATATCATCCACAACACTGCCAAACATGCGGGGCAGAAGTTTATGGAAGTAAGTTCAAACATGTACACTCTATATTACCAATCTGTTAAGCCCAATGCCATGTAAAACAGTTTGCTGATAGTGTTGCAATATATACTTGAATTCATGTATTGCAGATATCCGGATTTGATCCAGAGGATCTGACCGTGGATGTTGGGTACTGGTTTAAAGGAAGCACCAACCGTAAAGGTTACCTGGCAGGTTTGTGATTCAACCAGCTCTACTGTTATACAACAAAATGCAGACATTTTTAATTTGTTTACTGTTGATGTTATGTTTTATATTTTCCAGAATGTTGTGAATTCCATGAGAGCGAGACATGCAAATGCTGCTGCACATTTCAGTGCGATGGTTAAGCCTGGAGAGGTGCATCACACGAATTCTGCGACAGTATGGGCCACTTACCAGCTATTTTAAGTCTTTAAGTATGTTGTTTGTTTCATTGACAGTAATACAGGTGCATTACACCAGACTAAATGTGTACTTTTAAGCACTGACTGTGTTTATTTACAGATGAGAAACAACCAAGATTTAGAAGGCTGGTGGATGCATTTTCCAACCCCCTGACTGAAGTCTACCTACTCTTCTATCAAGCGACGCTGCCAGTGTTCACCCTACTGAACCTCCTCTTCCAGAGAGAAAGGTCTTCCATCTTTCAGCTCCACGGAGAGGTAAAATGCAAGGGTTAGGCCATCCTGCTGCCAAATACAGTATGTCTGCTTGAATTGGCTGATATGTCCTTTTTCAAGTAATACATGGAAATGTTTTATGAACTACAAATTTGCAGATGACAAAGTTCATCAAGAAACTGTGTGCGAAGTTCATGAAGCCGTCAGCACTACAGGGCCGACAAGTCCATGTCATCCTCTACAAGGACCCACTAAACCAACTGCCAGGTAAAAGTTTCATATGAGGAGATACACCTGTATTCTCATTGACCTCAAATATACTTTTTTGGGAAGATTGTTGTTATTGGGCGAGTTGGGTGATATCTCTGTTATGGCTGTTAAAAAGCATGTGTGCAGGCATACCATGCTTGTGTAGTTTATGGGTAAAATTGTATGCTTACATAGAGGAATACCTTCAACCACTTGCACTTATTGTGCACATAGTGCTCAAAACTAGACAGACTGAATCTATACACTGACTGTTTGTCTAGTTTTGAGTTAAATTGCCAAGTGAAATCCCTGTCTCTACCTGATGCATATTGTTGAAACTACCTGGACTTAATTTGCTTCTCTATCTCTTTCTGTTCTCTGTCTGGTAGGAGAAAAACTAAATGTTGGCTTCACCACCAGAGCTACCCTCAATAGGCTCCTTGAGGCTGGAGACATCACACCTCAGGAGGTGCAGCTATTCCAACAGGCAGCACTGGCATTTCTGGTCAGGGCTGTGGAGTATGGCATCAATAAACTCCCTCTGAAGGAGGCTCATCTGAGGCACACAAGATTTGTGGATGTGCAGCAGAGGACTGAGTGTGGGGTGGAAGATGCCTTATACTTTATAGACAGGTAAGGGTTTCCACATTTTCCAGGATTTCAATACTTTGATTGAATACATTAATCAGTTCTTTACACATGGTGCTCTTTTTAGATTTCAGGAACTATTACCTTTCCATGGGCCGGAGGAACAGGACAAGGTGTGTGAGGAGTTCCTGGAATATCAGCTGATGGATATCCCATGCCCCAAGATCCCACCACCTTTAATGTTGAGGAGTTTTGGGGGAGTATGTCCTCAATCAAGTGCAAGGTAAGAAATATTTGGCACCACATGACATACACATAATCAATTGAAATCAAAAGCAAAGCATTTGAGTAATAGAGTCTCTTGGTTCCTTTTTTTAAAGGTGACCGGTTTGAGCCAGTTGAGCTCACTAAAATAGCTCAACTTGCTCCCTCACTCTAATGCCGACGCGGAGAGGGTTTTCTCGATGGTTGGACTGAACAAGACAAAAACTAGGAACAGCTTGGCCCTAGATGGAACACTGTCCTCCATCATGACAGTGAAGATGGCAGGCCTGGAACCAAACTGTTTCAGATGGGAGCCACCTGAAGGCCTCAAAAACTGCCACCAACACCTACAACAAAAAACACACACACACACACACACACACACACACACACACACACACACACACACACACACACACACACACACACACACACACACACACACACACACACACACACACACACACCCCTTCACTAAGAATGAAATAAATATGTTTTTATTTGTATGAATTTATGTGTCATTTATCAGATAAGACCACCGTCCCCACCCAAAGCCCCGCCGCTGCCAAAATCTCACTCTGAACTCTGTTCAAAACTTGAGAGCCCTGTATACATGTTAACCCCGTTCGCAGGTGTTTGTGTGCTTGGTAGCTTAGCTTGTTACTTATTAGGCAGCTAAGGACGTAACCCTGTATGCATACATATACATTTTAGTTTATGATTCAGCCTTGGGTACGACTTTTATAGTCTATGGCTATGACGCCCATAATGCTAAACGGGAGCAAATGTTAATAGGGGACCCAATTATCCCAGTGGTGGCCACCGGAGCTAACGGACCCGCAGAGGGCTAGCTCCAGCCTGCGTCCCGGAGCTAGCCCACTGCGGCTCCGTTAGGTCCGGGCGGTGGAGTCCGTCTTTTCTCAACGTGTGAATGACAAGCATTAAGAATAACAAAATATAGCTAATTCTCTTGCAGATTGTCTCATTTGATTATGAATGTAATGTTTATATAGGGGAACTACACTGTTAGCAGTAACTTGGTATGCATGTATTTCATGTTAGCTTAGCTTCTTAGCCTGAGCTAGCTCTGTTTATTTCCAGTTCGCAGGCAGCAGGTCCCGCCTCGGCTCCGCCTCTTTGCCCTTATTTGGAGCAGGCGGGATTAGACTCTGACGTCACAGTCGAGCCGTTAGTGGCCGACTCCGCCTACTAAGGGCTTCACGGCAACTCTGCAGAATCCTATGGGTGACGTCACGGACACTACGTCCATACAGTCTATGATTGAATCGCGTGAATGGACCGCGAACCAGTCAAGTGATTCATTCAGCAAATGAAGCAGTTGCTGCATCGGACGTCACATGTCACGTGATTTGAAGCAGTTGCTGCTTCGGACGTCATATGTCACATGATTTGAAGCAAGCTTCGAAGCACTGCTTCTATGGAATAGGAAGTCCAGGGTGGAAGCTCCGTTCGAAGCTTCAGTGTCAAACTGCCATCACTAGACACAGCCACATTGGATATTAACTTATGGATTAACTACATCATCTTTTTTATCGTTTTAATGCCATTGAAGACCAGTTTAGACCAGACAAAGAGGAAGGTAGCTTAGCGTTAGCCTAGCGCATGTTTTGATTGATTGATTGAAAAGTTTATTAACAGCTTGTATATTGGGTACAGTACAGTACAGCTCAAAACATACAATTGTTAAGGGGATGCAGACCAGAGAAAGACTTTCGTCTTGTTTACATCAGGGTCCCCCATTTCCAATTCATCATGTCATTTAAGACATATAAGACATATTTGACATACAGATGGCTTATTTACAATTTACATACAGGTGTTTTTTTTACATACAGATTGCTTGTTTACAATTTTCATTTTAGATTTCGTTCTAATACATCCTAACCGGACATTTAAGACATACCAAGTCTACAGATATACAGTTAGTAACAGAGTCTAAAATGCGAGTATATACATAGATGGGGGGGGGGGGAAGCTGTCCATTGAACGACAGGTTGAGATTTGTACCATTACCGGGGCCAGTTTTGCAATGCTCTCCCCCGAAGTTGCTCTTTAAGAGAGGTTTTGAAGGTAAGTATAGTTTTACTTTCCTTTACAGTTGTGGGAAGAGCGTTCCACCTTGATGTGGCATAATTGCGAAACGTGTATTCCCCCTTTTTTGTGCCAAATCTGGGTTTCACATGATTTGTGGAGCTCCCTCTGGTGTTATGATCATGGTATTCCTTGACCTTTGGGAAGAATGTTGACATGTACATGGGTACCATAGAGGTGTAGTGGATCTTGTAGACCAGGCCCATTGCAAGTAGCTGTACTCTGTCGTCTACTCTAAGCCATCCTAGGTTGTCAAAGTGGGCAGAGGTGAGGTGGGTTCTAGATGAAAGGTCAAGCAGTAGTCTGACCAGTTTATTTTGCGATGTTTGAAGTTTTATTTTTAGCGCCTTGGAGGTGCTATGGTACCATGACGTGCAAGCATAGTCATAGTACCCTTGAATGAGTGCTCCTGCCAGAGTTTTCAGGGTGTTTTTGTTTACCAGAGAGGAGATCCGGTATAGGAATCTAGTTCTTTGATTGACTTTTTTTATTACATTGGATGCCATTTTGTCACAGGAGAGGTTTGCCTCAAGAATAGATCCTAGGTATGTAATTTCCTTCTTACTTGTGACAATAAAGTCGCCCACTGCAACTGAGAAGTCGTCGGATTTGCTGAGATTATGTTTCGAACCGAAGAGAATGGACTCTGTTTTACCCAGGTGTAATGATAATTTATTATCGGCGAGCCAGGTGCAGATTCTGCCGAGCTCGGAGCTGAGGGTTTTTTCAACCTGCAATCTGCTCCTGTCAGAGACCAGCAGGGCTGAGTCGTCCGCGAACAGGAACAAGTTGCAGTCACATGCTGATGACATGTCATTTACATAAATTAGGAACAGTAACGGACCTAATATGCTTCCTTGTGGAACACCACAGCTCACTGGGAGGGGGGGGGGACAGAGTACCGTTTACCTCCACCATCTGTTCTCTCCCCTCCAGGTAGGATTGCATCCAGCTCACCGATAGTTTATCAAAACCAATTGCTTTTAGCTTGTCAATCAGAATGGGGTGATTGACAGTGTCGAAAGCTTTTTGTAGGTCCATCATCACCATGCCGCAGTACTTGCCCTCGTCCACCTCTTGTTTGATGTGGTCGCTCAATAGTACCTAAGGCCACTTGTTTTGATGTACGTTTTTGTTGATACCGTCGCAAGTTTGTATCTTTCAGTGTTGAGGTGGGCACCGTTAGATTCTGTGTTAGCTAGGATAAGTAATAAGGGAGCTAGGAGTGATTTTCGGTGCAGTAATAGGTTAGCATTTTTCGCTCGGGGCTTGTTGAGATATAACATACAGACATGTATAGTGTATGACTCCGTGTATTACTGTGTACCATATATTGTTTATGTAAGTAGCTGCGACTACTAACTGTGTTAATTGGTTAGGGCTGTACCACATGATTGTGATGTCACTACCTGGAGTATAAGACCGTTGGAAGTCACGCCCCTTCTCTCTCTGTCCTCAAGCCTCTTGAGATGTGTGCCTATAATAAATAACGCCGTGATGAATGGCTAAACTTGAACTGCTGAGATTATTCACCTTTCTGCTGCAGGAGACAAAAGGTATAAGTCTAAATCTGCTAACAGGTTATGGGCCCAGATGCGATGAATTATTCTACAGTTCGAAGCGCACGTGCGATAACAAGGCGAGAAGATTGCCTGTTAGCACGGTTAGCATAGGAGTAGCTAGTTAGCCACGTGCTAAGCTAGTTTACCATCGGGAGAACCGAGGGAAGCTAAAGCTAAGCTAACGAGGACCTAAGCTAAGCTACTGAAGCTACAAACGAAAAAGTCATGGTGAATAGAACCACGAAGAAGAGCAAGTGGCCCACGTTTGATGGGAAAGCAGAAGAGTATGAGCTCTGGGAAGAGAGGATGCTGTGTTGCATGCACGGAGTGGGATTGAAGGAGACCATCCTTCGAGCACCCGCTGGAGAGCTGACCGCGGCACTGAGGGCTCAAGACGACAAGCTCAATGCTGACGCCTATTGTGAGTTAGCGCCGCTACTTGACAATACCAGTTTAGGCCTGATATTCAGAGACATGAAGGACAAGGGCCGAGAAAGTCTCAGAATATTAAGGGAGCACTATATTGGAAAAGGCAGACCCAGGATCGTCACCTTGTATATAACCATGACTACGCTGAAGAAAGCTGATAATGAGACGGTAACAGAGTACATTATCCGAGCTGAGCAGATCATTACGGCACTCAGGAGAAGCACCGAGTGAGGGACTAATGATGGTGATGGTTATGCGGGGATTACCCGAAAAATACAAGCCGTTCACTCTAATGGTGACACACGGTGACAGTGAAGTAACGTTGGGACAGTTCAAGGCGAAGTTGAGGAACTTCGAGGCCTGAGAAGATTCAGCCCCAGCCTCAGACGAGACGAGCGAGAGGGTGCTGAGGGTCCAAGCAGCAACAAAGAGAAAGCCCGCCAAACGATTCATCCCCGATGGCGGCGGAGAACACGTCGGCACATGTTGGCGATGCGGAGAGAAAGGCCATCGAAAAGATGACTGCAGAAAGAAAGTCTGGTGTAGCTTTTGTAAAAGCAAGGGGCACACAGACAAAGCGTGCACAAAGGACCGCGGTGATGCCGCTCGGTGCGCGAGCATGCCAGGTGGTACCGGAGAAGCTGCGGGAGGAGGTGACTACACCCTCAAAGTGCGAGCTGAAGAGACCAGCCTACAGAGACAACAACTACAGACCCACAGAAAAGGATTGATCGTGGACACGGGAGCGTCGTCTCACATCATCAACGATAAGAAGAAATTCAAGATTTTTGACAGCACCTTCAAGCCGGAGAGACACAGCATGGAATTGGCAGACGGGAGGCGCACCTTCGGGGTGGCGCACGGCAGAGGAGAAGCAGAGATGTGTCTGATAGACAGTGAGGGACGACGGTGTAAAGTGACTCTGAAGAAAGCGCTATACATCCCATCGTACCCCCAATAACTCTTTTCCGTGAAGTCTGCTACAGCTAACGGAGCCAAGGTTTTCTTCGACGAAGGTAAAGATGCTCTGATGTTACCGGATGGTACCAAGTTTGAAATGTATGTATGTAAGAAAATGTACTATTTGCAAACAGAGTGTGATGTTGAAGATAAGTGTCATGTCAGCCATGATATCCAAACGTGGCATGAGATTATGGGTCACTGTAATTATGAGGATGTGTTAAAGCTGCAGGATGTAACTGTAG